AGACAGCAGCTTGCCATGGAGGTCAGCTCAGTATGGGAAGCTATTACATCATACATCATGGCGATTCGGTAGGCGCTGTCATCATATAGTCTGCTAACATACTTAACAAACTTAATGTCGTACCCAAGTTTATTAGATACATGTCGCACAGTGTAGCTTGCAGTAAACTTAAAAGACTGCGAATATATCTACAGTCTGTAGGGGGCTTAACACAAACACACACAAAACCAAATGCATGATCCCCTCTAGGCTTACACCTAGTGGACATAAAAAGACAGATGAGATAATCAGCAAATAATGAAAAAACAAACCTATGAATGACAATGAAAGTTGCTAAAAAGCTGCTAGGACAGAAACAGGTCACCTACTAATGCACTGTCATTATTTTATCTGCAAAGTTTTTGCTTTTGGCCCCCACACCTTAAAATGATCACGCATCATAATTGTTAGCGTTTGTAACTAATGTTGACAAACACAGGCTGTGAATGTACAAACACACTCATTATGTGCAGGCACATATTGTATCATTTCACACTTCAGAATTTGGGATGATTCAATCAGAATAAGACAAAACATGAACTACTGGCGTCATGCTGTGCAACTCCGGTCCCCAGTGAACCATAACACAAGTTCTATTCGACAAACATAAAACATCGACAATCAGTGTCACATGCATCCACACAGACTCATCCAGAATCCTGCGGCTTCAATTACCACAACTGTCAGCAACAAGAGTCTCAATCTCTCTGGATCCAGAGCTGGTCTGAAGTAAGAGCTGAGCGGAAAGTGGAACTTTTAGAGAGAGTGACAATTTTGCCATGCTAGAAACTAAAGTAACGTACTATAGTTGTGTAATCAACTACATAAAAAATAGATAGTTAGCTCATAAGTTTATTCAGGATCATCTAATTCAAACTTGAAAGTTCCAAAGGTCTGAATCTGCGAGAACATTAAGTGTCTGTATCAGCAAGTGTCAGCACTAGAATATTTATTCTTCCATCACTGACAGATGGGTACTTAAACAGACATTAAGGAGGAGTTAATGTCCGACTTAGCCATGTAAAACACCTGCTTAGTAGCAGTTTAACTACAAACACCCAAATTACATTCATCATTACAACTTCTGGGGTCATATTCATAAAATATTAATGTCAGGTTAAGTTCACCACCTGTTTTGTCTCTAGCCTCCTTTCTTCTATTCCCAAAGGAAACTTCCCTCGTTTTTGGTCATTTCTGCACCCTGAAATTATCCAGCTGGGAAAATATGTTCCACTTTTCAACCTCTGACGTGTTGTAGAAAAGGCAAACGAGGGAGAGCGAGGGGGGGGGGGGGGGAGAAGCAGGTGTTAGACAAGAGTGGTAGTTAGCACTTAATGCAAATAGCCCCCCAGGATTCTTTCATTTGTGTCTACCACACACATACCGCACACAGTGGTGATTACTGTCAGCAACAATGCGAGCATGGATTACAGTTTAAAAAGCACACTTGGGGCCGGACAGATTTGGGCCCGCTGTCAATCATTTTGTGTGGTCTAGTTGCTCCTTTTGGCAGCAACTTTTCCCTGCGCTACAAAACAAATCCCACCTACACAAATGAGAGTTATGTCATTTTTATACCAGTGAAATTGTTTCATTTGGGAATACAAAAGTCAAATGATGGCTGCTGTTTATTTGTTTGTCTCTCTTGTGGTTCACTCCCTGGTGATGACATGCATTTGGAGGAAGTGTCAGTGATTTGATGGAGTGTACTCAGGCACAAAGAGTTACAATAATCAAGTCATCAGAAACACACTGTGAATTACTGTCAAAATCGATGATCTATTATTCCATTTAAGCTGTAGTTGGTAACTTCGTATTTACTTCAATTGTCGCTACATTCACACAGCACTAAATGAGACATATAACCTGTGACTGGTGTCCATAGATCAGCCTAACCAGACTTCCAACCAGAAGTCCATTCATTCTTAGGGGAATCTCTGTGATGTCCGATGTGCCTGCGAAACTCTTCCCCTCTGTAATATTTCAGTCCGAGTACATTAAAAAAACTGAAATTTCGCAGTGGATTTTTGAGAGACTGTATGCTAGCTTTGCTAACAGGCTGCTAACTGGCTAACAGACTATTTCCTTAAATTCAGTTGCCTGTGTTGATTGTCAAGCGAGTTTGTATGATTGAAAAGAACTTGTTTATCTAGTCACTGTGAATCTGTGAGTAATGTTATTCTGCTAAAATATGGTTATACATTATTTACAGTCAGGTCATAGTTCAGCCGTTCATACGTCTTTTTAATTAAATATTTCACAAAACATGCCACGTACCTGGTCGTTCCTGTTTTTGTCCCGATAATGTTCCAAAAAAAAAACAGACAAAATTAGCCTCTCCCCCTGCGGCTACAGGTAGTTTCTATCAGATGTCTATCCATCTGTAAAGAAATGCACTTCCTTGCATTGGACACTAGAGGCATCATCCGTATAGTTACGGATCTACAGACACTAGTCACATACGTAAGTGGAAACGAGGCGTAATGGCCTTACTGCATGTGAAGGAAAACAACCAATCAGAGCTAAAGAGTCTCTAACGCAGCTGTCAGTCATGTCAATCACTGCTTGTGAACTTCGGTTAATCTGTCAAACTAGCGTTGACCAAATATGAACCAAGATATTGTTACTGCATTGCCTATTTCTCTTTTCAAATGTTTTCAGAAACACATTTTAGTGTACTGTTTATCTGTAAAATGAGAACGTTGGCCCGGCCAGTGGTCAGTGAGCAGTGCTTGATACTTTAAGCTACGTTAACTCTCCAACATGGTGGCTAAGTCACAAACTTTTTTTTTTTTTTTCATTTCATTTAATTTTATTTCACTATTGAAATGTGAGATGTAGTTACATGAGACAAGTCCCACACAGGAAAAATAACGTTAAATAAATAACGTTTTGTCAAGCATGTCAAAGCCTGACAGCCTGGCTGCCTCATCTAAAACCAACAGTATGTCTGCACGTCCAGACAGACAAATGCGCACTTAAACACACTTGTATACACGGCCCACACTCCAAGACAAAGAAAGCCAGGGGGAGTGGGAGAGAGAAAAGAACAAGGCTCTAATAAACTGTTGTTTGACATTGTTATATGGGGACAGCCCTGTCCATAAATCAGGCTTTATGGTCTCACTCTCTACATTGTCCCAAACCCTCAGGCCTTCTCCCTCTGCTCTCCTCTACCTGCACAGCAGTCCCAGGACCCCAAGTGACCTGCTCCCTGGAGGCAACAGCATCCTCTCACAGTTTGGAGGAATAACCACAAGATCCACTGAAAGCACCGTGACCTGTTCTCCATCAAACCTGTCACTCAGTGTGAACTATGTGAGAATCACCTCAGCACAGCAAAATACATGTCTCTGTCAGTGACTGCTGTATACATTTTAAAAGAGAACTGATTGTTTACATTAATGCAATCTAGCTCTACCTTACTATTCAAGAAACCTTCAATCAGCAAACCTTTTTCCCCAAACGTTTATGAGCCAAGGCCGTTAGACAACTGCTTTAAATTGTTGCTGTTGGATGAGTGAATAATTCGTCTGGCTTTTTCCACAGTGGCCTGAAGGAAACCACTTTAAATCTGCTTTAATGTGGGGACACTATAAACCTTATCTATTTAACAGCCCCCTGTAAAAAATTAAGACTTCCTTTCTATTTTGTTGTATGTCGTTAGATGCATTTATCCTCAGGGGACAGTGACAACAGGGAAGTGCATGATGTGGAATTCAAAGGTGAACCACTGACTGGTTGACATAATTAAGAAACTTTCTAAAATTGAACCTCAACAAATGATTCTTCAACACTTGGGTTTCCAACTACCTACTTCAGTTAATGAGTTTGTAAGACTTCTTTAGATAGTTCATTACTAAACATGTCCCTAAGCAATGATGCAGAGTATCTGACTTCCGAAAGTATTATCCAACTACAGAGCCTTAGTTCCAGCTGTTCAGATTTGCAGTTCCAGTCCACCCTTGTGCCTTATGTCTGCCAAGTTGTGGATGGTATGAATAGAACCACTCCACTGCATCCTGTTTTAAAGGCGCTGTATGTAAGAACGTGGCCAAAACGGTTACTGCACTCAAATTCAAAATACTGCCGCGAGTCATGTTCGTCCCCCCTCCCCTACAGATTCGAGGTTGCTGGACAGCAGCACGCTGGAGACTAATTTGTTTGCCCACGGGCGGCTGCCGTGGCAGGGCTGTGTCGCCGCGTCCTTGATCTTCGGTTTTCCAGCAGACCGCAAGTCCGGCTTCTCTGCTGCTAACGCTGCTGCCGGGATACAGCTCATGAGGAGCTGGCTGCTAATGCTATGTACCGGGACACTGCTAATGCTGCTTGCCGTGCTGCTGTAGCTCAGTCGTAACTGTAACTGATGCTGAGACTCTACTGAATGCGAACATTATTCCTTAGTCTCTGTGACATATTAGGAGGATTTTACGCCTATTTGCTTTAGATTTCTTACATATAGCTCCTTTAATGTTACCCCTCTGTTGAGGTATGTAGCACATTGTTCTGCTACTAAAATACCACAGTCCATTGACTTTTCAAGAGAGAATTGTCACCCTTGCTCTACAGGGACTCAGTGCACCAAAACACTACCCACCTTGACATCTCTCCATTTAATGCATGTATAGGTCCAGTTTGTGTATGTGTGTGTATTTCAGGCCTGTGTGTATAGGACAACACAGTGAAAAATAAATTGAATTTCCCCTCAGGGATTAATAAAGTATATCTTCTTCTTGTCTATGCTGTGCAATGACAGCAGTCCTGCTGAAATAAATGAGGAGGCTGCATTTGTTAATGCAGCACTGTTGTCTGTCCAAACACGGCCTTGAAGTGGTTACTTATGAGTCTGTTTAAAGTTTGTTATATTACCTTTAAAACCTGAAAATATCTGAGACTTCACTAAACAGTGAGGATTTCGCAACAGAGTGTAATAATTAAATCAAACCAAAGCTTTTGCTCACCGAGATGTCACCACAGGGCTTCTGATATGAGAGATGACAGTGATCAGGAGTGACGTGGAAAGAATACACCTCCTTGTCGCCCTCTCTTCTTCCTCTTCCTCCATCACCTCCTGTTAGGGCTTGAAGAAGATCCTCAACATATCTTTCCCTTGTGACTCCCATATCGCTGGCTTCCCTTGACACCTCATCTTCTGAAACTGGACACAAAGATGGCATTTTTCTAATTTTTATATCATTTTTAAGTTGTGCAGTTGAGAGAAGGCCAAAGAGGTGATGGCAGACTGCAGAGCAAAACTACAAACATTAATTATGTAGCAATGCATGGATGCACGTGAAAGCGTATTTAAAAGGAAGCATGCAGGGTAACCGAGGGGAATGTCATCAGCTGTTGCACAGCTGCTCACACGGGGCTGAGGGTCCCAATTAACACATCAAACAGAGGAACACTGATGACCCAGAAGCCCGCACATAGCTGTCACAACCTCATCGCTGCCTGTCAACTCTGCAGATGGACAGCAATAGAAAACTAGGGAGCAGTTATGTTCCAGGTGTCCTTCCAGAGAAAATGTACTCACTCATATGTAACTACCTACACACACACACACACACACACACACACACTGAACACTGACTTGCACATAAAAAGACAAGCCTTGTAGAGTTTAATCTGCCTTCTACACCTGTAAGCTGCAGCAGGAGTGAAGAAGAATGATGAAACAAGGTCACTGCTGTCCCTCTTGTTGAAGGACCAACAGTTACAATATTGTGAGGTTGGGTTCAGCCAGGTGCCTATACACACTTCGGATGGTCTGATGACTGGGAGACCTAGTGACAACCCAATGGTCAAAAGAGGTTACTCTTTGTAGACACATAGGCTGAAATTGTGGGTTCTATCACGACAAGCCTGACCTGAGACTGTCGTGTCAACACATTCTCACTCCGACCTTATCACGTATCAACGTTTGGTCACGGACTTTCATATAATGTGCAAGGTACCCTGGGTGCGTTGGTTGCTGATGCCCTGAGATGCCGTGTCAACTTCAGCCTGTTACATGCACCGTCTGATTTCAAATACACTTTTGTTTTTACAGGAAATGCACAGTTTGCATACAGTCTCTTTCAAAATAAACGCACTACGTTGGTACAACACCACAAATTGATGTTTTTTTTTTCCTTCAACAACAAACGCACATGGTTTCGTTTAGCCAACACAAGCACATGATTGGGTTTAGAAAAGAGAACAGGGTTTGGCTTTACAGTCTACCAGGAAGCAGACACTGGCCTCCTGGGTGAAAGTCGATGGCTGTTGGAACCATCCACCACCCCTCCTGCCCCGCTGGGCGGTGTTAAACCATAATGATGACCGGCTGCATGTCATACCGACATGAAACTTTTTGCATGGGTGTCTGATGCCAGAAGTCACTGACCGAGCGCCAGTATTCGACGACTTCAGAGTGAGACCAGGTTGGTTGTTTTGTACTGTCTGCATATCTGAAATCTTTACCTTCTCCAATCCATGCTGAGTTGCCATCAGTGAGAGCCAATGTGAACCCAGCACCCAAGTCCTCGGCCCAGTCCACTCGCAGGAAGTAAGGGGTGTCTGGATCAGTAACTACAGTGATCTGTTGGACTGCACCACTCATGACCTGCAGAAAATCAAAGATAGGAATTAAGATACACGTTACAAGGTGCCGTGTATGATTCATTTTTCCAGCAACAAGCTCATGTATTGTATTCAGGATATTTCATAGAATCTACTGGTCCTAGCACCTCTTTTGAAAACAGCCCTCCAGTGATAAAACCATTTTGATGTTGTAAGGTTGTGTTAATCTCCCAGTTGCATCAATGAACCTCATTGTTTTACTTCTTGGATTTGGTAATAAACATCCCTGTGTGTGTCTTTAATGGGGGTCTCTCTGAGTCAGTGGAACCACACAGAGATTTTGGCAGATTTCTGTGTGGGAGTGTGGGCTCCCTGACCACCAGCAAGGTAATTACACACTGTTAAAGATAAATAGAAGAATATTACCAAAAAGGCCCAGTTGTTGCCTGATTTTAGTACAGTGTACATTTACTCAAAGATCTACAGTACTTTGAGTTCTGAAAGTGAGTCTGAATATTGAAGCCTCACACAGCCAAACATGAGTTTGTACAATGAGATCTAAAACTGGAAACGTCCACTCGAGAATGAATTAAGCTTTGATGAGTTCCTTAACCTCACAAACGTTACACTGTAGAACAAAAATGAACCATGGTTTTGCAGCTGCATGGACTCTTTGTCAGAGGTGGAACCAAGTCAGTGTTTTGCAGTCACAAATCCCTCAAGTCTTGGCACTCAAGTCCCACATCAAGTCCCAAGTCAAGACAAGCAAGTCCTGAGTCAAGTCGCAGGTCCTAAACTTTTGAGTTTTGTGCTCTTTACCTAATTTAACGCCATTTTAACAACTGAGTTAAACATGGATGCTTTTAAAAATCTGTAGCCTATTAATTAGTTGAAAAAGTTTGCTGGAAGTTGTTGCGTCTCTATTTGTAATTTTCGACCTGCGCGTTTTGCATACTGTAATTTGCTTTTTGTTGACCAGTAGTTTTTGTAAATAAATGAAATTATCTATAATTTTCTACAACTGGTGCTCAGCAATGTAACATTGGTTCTTCATGGTGCTCTCCTGCAACTTGAATGAATAGCATTAACATCGGTTGATTCAGGAAATGAAGGGAAATTAATTAATTTGTCTTACACTCTTATACAGTCCTCACTTCTACTACTACTATTTTATCACCTCAAAGTTATTTAGGTCTTCGTGGACAGTTTGGGTGAAATATAACATCTCCAGAAGAGCCATGAGCCAAGAGCATGTTTGAAAATAAGAAGTAAAGACCATGGACAGCCCTGCAGCTCTGCATTGAGGAGTGAACTGCCATTTACCTATTTCCACAGCCTGACACATCTTAAACTAATCCATCCGTGTCAATGCCAGAGCACAATAGCCAAAGCAAAATCTGTTGGATCCATTCCCTTAGAAACAAATCATTATTCGCGGATACTACTTGTCTCAATAAGTTTGCTGAGCAAGCTTGTTTAGTAATGTCACCTTGCCCTCAGGCAGATGTCTTGGCTAACTGATTCACTGCTGCAGTTAAAGTTACGTGTCTTGCCAGAAGCAGCCAATACTCAACAGATCAGTTACCAAAGATGTTATCTAAGGATTACAATGTGATCCATGATTGTTACTAAAATGTTCTTTTGGTTTACTGACTACACATGTTTTTTTGGTCTCTTCCTCTTCTTCTCAGAGGGCTTGAGAAACTTTTACTTGATTACGGATGTCCAGGCCAGAACATGTGATTACTGCTTCCACGTGAAGTGAGAGGTGAGTTGGACATCTTCCCTGCTTAACTACAGGGCAAAGAGTGTGGAGATGGAGGGAAAAGGACAGCTAAATTGGCAGTTAGCCAAGCTGGACATGTTTGAAAAAATGAAAATGAGCGCTTTCAGACACCGTGCTATAAGTTAGGACGTGACAGCACGTTTTTTTGTTTCTTTTTTTTATTGTTCTTTCTTTGCATCCCCCACCATACACACTGACAGAGCAGGTAGTCAAGGTTATTCAAAATGAGACATACAGCAGAGATCTGACACACGTACACATGTGCACTCTCCACACACACACACACACACACCAGAGCACGTACATGTGCACACGCACAAAGCACCCTGCAGCAGACAAGTTGACCCTTTGTGCTTCAAAAAGGGGTGTGGCTGGACGAAGGGGCCGAACGAGATGAGGGAGCTGAAAGGTTCAACTTTAACCTCATAAAGTGAGCCCAGCTACTCATTAGTTACTGTAACATCTGTTGTGCAGGGACGATGACCCTGTGGTAATGACAGAAGGACACTCCAATTAAATAAACAGCGCTGTCTGTCAGGAATGGAGAGCCGCGCAAAAACCTTAAAAGTCACTCCCAAAGTCTTCCTGTTCAGTTACTCGATCAGTGAACAATCACTGGAACGCTTAAATCATCGACTAAAGTTCCCCTATACAGTTCTGACACACAGCCGTTATCCTCTTCTCTAACTCCCTCTGTAATTTTTTTTTGCTCAACCTTTTCATTGTCATTTCTTCAGCACATGAAAACTGCAAGACATAACTGTGCAGGAAGTACTAGGCAAATGAGTCACAAAGAAAGCCTCTAATTATGCATCTTGTGTCTCGAAATGAGGAGTTCATGCAGAGTAGAAAAAGCCAAAGCAGTTAACTGTCTCTTTAATGGGCTTGGACAATTAAGCCAGTCCTCTCACAGTCCTTTCACTGGACTTTCCCCTCACGCTTTCCCCAAAACAGTGGTTTCAAGATGAAAAGGAGAACTCTTTAGCAAGTCCACTAATATCATGATCAGTCAGGGACTAAAGCAGTGCTGCCTTAAACAGCAGCAGGCTCTGCCATAGGCTTTTATCAGTATTGTAGTCAAGAAAGACCACCAAAACCAAAGTCATACCCAAGACCAGAGTGTATCAAGACCAAGACAAGACCAAGACTTTGAGGGTTTGAGACCAATCAAGACCAAGACACAGGCAGGGTGAGACCAAGTCAAGACCAAGACCAGACGAGAGGGAGTCCCACACTGCATGACACACTTATGATAAAATGTGGAACATGCAAACCATAGACACTCCTCAAATTGATCTGAAACATCCACATTCCCATAAAAACACCCACAGAAAAAAAATGTAGATTCCCCTTCATCCATCTCTTTACTCTGAGTGTACCACAAGAAAAATCTTAATAAAATAATCAAAAGGCATTGCAGATGTGACTTTTGTGTGTGAGAATATTCCTTTGTTTTCCAAGACTGAGACCCTGGAAAGGCCTGGTATTAACATGAGTTTCTTCGGTTATCCAAACACAAGTGGAAAGCCAAGACACATCGCTGTTCAAACCTGTGCCTATCATGCGCCTATCATGCGTCTCTAACTGACCATGTGTGTTCCAATTTTGTTACACCCCCGTGCACAGTTATAACAACCACAAACTTGCTAGCTGCTCTGTAGCTTGCTTGCTAGTCACGTTAGCAGTTGTGTCAGTACAGCTGGTACAGCAGTGTCCTTCCATGGGACAAAACTATGGATGGTCACGCAACACTTAGTCCAACTCAACATAAAATACAGCATTAGCCGCTGTTGCCAAACCACCACATGCTGCACTGATGACATAGTCCTAGTTGGGGATGGATTAGTGTTTGCAATACAAAAGATATGTGGTCACATACATCCCAAACCGCCTCAGCAAGTGGTTTAAGTGATCGGATCACAATGCGTCTTGGTGGTCATTTACACTTGTATTTAGCACTGTCCACTTGTGATTGGAGCACCCAAAATGCATGTTGATACCAGGTGTTCGCAGACTCCGAGACGTTGAGACAGAGTAAGGATTCAGTTGAGTCCAAGACAAGACCGAGATCTTCAAAGTGTGGTCTTGAGACTGGTCTTGAGACAAAGACTGATTTGGAGTACTGCAACACTGCCTTTTATTCGTTGTTCTTTCCAGGTATTGGCTACCTTAAGCCACTTGACAAATAGAAACAGTATGAGCAAATAAAACACAGTCATCTACAATGCAATAAATCAATACAATGAATCATGGGCTAAAGGCTGGTGTGTGTGTGTCGCCATAAATTGACTCACGCATGCCTCAACATAAAGACCAGGTTTAAAAAACTAGTGTATTTAACCATGGACACTTTTATGACTCATATTCTTGCTGTCTGTAAAGGTGACTGTGATGTAGTGGTGATGGGTCTGGGTCATGCTCTTTCTCAACCTGTATGACAACAGGATGCGCCCTCTCTTACATGCAGATTTAAAGATTTCATATCCTCATAAGGTTGCAAAGGCATTTGAGATCGGTGACAACAAGTTTCAGACATACTGTATATCTTATATCAGTGACAATGTGTGTTCTTAATGGATTATGTGGTCAAAACAGCACTACTACAATGCATTTGTGTCCCTACTCCTTAGACTGAAAATTCTCCCTGGTATAATTTTAACTCTACTGCTAGCTGGGATGACACTTTTAAAACACTAGGCAAAAAAATTAAATGAGAGCAGAAACTAAACACAAAAGTACTCCTGCTGGCAGCTTAATTTAGCTGAATAAGTTATACACCGAAAAATCTACGCTAGATATTGTAATGCAGTAATTTAAATTCCACTGAAATCACACAAGGAATAAACATAACTTCAGTTAACAACACATTTCAGAATAGAAGCTGCAACACTGGTTGTTTGAAGAAGAAGAAAAAGTAATCTGCAATCTACTGGACCAAACAAGAACAGCGATCACACCGACTTCAGCTCTGCACCCAAAGCCTTACAGAGATGACTAATTTCAACAAGAGTGCAGTCCTTTTAAACACACATACATTGCTAGTCTGCAAGGGCTGCCCTCCTGATCTCAGCTCTCATAACGTTGTATACAACATCTTGTTATGTCTGGATTCTGCCGCACTGTAACAGGTCATTTTCACATCTCCAGTATTCACACAGGAGTATGTGACAATAGTGAAAAACTACGCTGAGCTCTGTTACAAATGTAAGGCAACTTTCACTGATTATGGCTGTGTACAAGTATAAAGACCCAGGCATGATACAACTTGTGACAGCACAACATCAATGGGGGTGTAATTAGCCTGACTTTCCTTTTCATCTGCTCTGCAGTTTACCGAAGTCATATTTTCTTTAAAGGTCACAACCATGTGACAACGTAGTTACTCCGACAAAAGTTTTACTCTTGGCTTTAAACTTTAATTGTTATTCTGAGTTTGGCCCCATGTCCATTCTCGTATAAATCTAAAAATATTGCACACTGAGGCTACGTCAAGCCTTGATTTGACTGCAGGGATCAGGCATGCATGTCCTACTGTAGCCTAAATTGGTCAGTGCACTGTAAATGATAAACTTAATCACATTAAGAGGCAATTTGACTCTGTTTAAAGTACACTTGCTCATCGCCTGCTCTAAGAAACCAGACTCTCCATCCCTTCTTTTTACAAGATTTCATCCACAAAACATTATTTATGAGTGGTTTACAATCTGACAGATTTCTTCTTACATGAAGAGCTCCCTAGGAGTCACCAAGTAGGAAGGGTTCAGGGGGATTTATGAAACATGGTTTCAATGCAATCAAGATGCTGTCGTGGCTGGTTGGAGGGAGGAGACTTCATTGTGAAAACTCTGAGGGAAAAGTGGACCACAAAAATGTCAGTCTTACGTCACCATAGAATAGACTAGGATCTATTAATCTATAGTCCTAAAAATATCAGACAAGATTTTTATATAGAAGATTAAAACTAAGTATTTTTTAATATAGCCTGTGTCCACCTCAAGTTATCAGTTACTTTCAGCACTAGCCTACAATTGCCTTATGATAAGGAAGTTCACTTCCTTCTTCTACCCCTTAGATTTTATTATTATTCACAGCCTAATTACCCTAATATAACATTATAGCAACTTTGGGTTCTGCAAGTGCTGTCTACCTATCCTCTAACTACCTTTTCTGGTGCACCACAGTGGAACAAAGCATGGTAAATTATCGGTACAGTCAGATTAACACGCCTTTGACAGAAAGGTGCCGAGCCTTTGGGTCCGTGCAGCTCTTACAGTCGGACTAATTTCACTCTATGTTTGCTTTGGGTACAACACTCAACGTACATATTTCCTCAAAACACTTACGGTTACGTATGGGCTAACTACTGCGGTGTCCAAACGAAGGCATTTTTGTCTAAAACTGAAATCATTGCAGCTCTCTCTGTTGACACATTTTGACAGATTCAACTGTTGTGCTTTCAGCCAATCAGAAAACGCGGTTTCGCGACGCAGTGCGTGATGACGTTACGTAAAACTGTTCGGTGACGTTACGTATGTTCCGGAGAGCAGGAAGTGTGATGTGGCTTTGACTCACAACAAAAATGGTAAGCGGTGTTTTTTTACTAATTAAGTGCTTTTTCTCTTTCACAGCGTATTTTGACCAATATCTATAACACTAATTCAACATCTAATCTGTCTCGGAACAACACTATGGCAACAACACATGCTTGCATTCGTTTTAAAGCCGGACGTAGAGTTAATGCTAAACTAGCTTGTTAGCATTGGCTAGCTGAAATAGGATAAAGGGTTAGCCAACTTAGCTATCACATGCATATTTCTGCCCATTAACATCATTGCATTATACTTTTATATCATCACGTAAGTTGCGGTCGTGTATCAACACGAGTCGTGTGATAACTAAGGCTTAAGTTATTATCATAAATTAATGAGTAAGATGAATGCGTGCATCGCAATGTTTAGGGGTGTGTGCCACGTAGCTGCACTATAGTTCAAGGAGCATGCTTTGGCATGTGTGTGCCGTGCGGCTACATACTGTGGATTGGCATTATGAGGTTGTTGTTTATAAGCTTGCAATAACGGAAGTATTTGAAACAAAGGTGTATAAGTCAGTAGGTAACTTACGCCTAATAATTTACCTTACTGAGCTGAAAAATAAAGGATAAGCTGACAGTTTTTTAGAACGTTATTCCTGATCAAAACATGCAGCAACAACAAACACAGCAAAGGAAGTTGGATAATCACTGCAGGCAGAACTCATATGTACATCTCACTTTGCAAAATTATGATGCAAAAGTACATGCACTTAAGGTTCAAAATGGTTGTAATGCATCAGTTGTGCCAACATTAAAATCGTTGTAATAATTTTGCTGTGGCAGTAGTGGAATTAGTGCTATATGGGGACAAAACCAATATAAATCTTATGTCCTTGCTGCTTTTTTTAAATTATTTTTTCTGTAATTACTATTTTCTACTTTATATCATTTTATTTTTTTATTTTATTGCATTATCCTTCCGAAAATGCATGTTTGTCACAAGATATCACACATTTCTGTACGTAGAAAGGGAAGATGCCAGAAGGGGTTGCATCAAATCATTACAAAGCCCCTTGGTAGCTTCAGAGTGCCTGTACAGGTAGTTGATAAAATCTATCAGCATCCTTGTCTCTGTCTCTGAGGTGTCCAGTGATGTTTCCACCTAGCATTTTAACCACTCTTCAAAACTTCACATGACCGATCTGTGTAACAACAGAGCCACGCATTTATACCCAAACAGGGAAGGGATAAATTAGCCAATATAGTGGATGAATTATGATTTCACTATAATCCTCATTTAGAATTACGCACCATTTACTTACCAAAAAGCTGAAACAATATGCTTTTAATACAAAAAACAAACTCTAAATCACAAATCTACAATTCAGTCTGATGTGCTGTGAGTGTAATAAAGTGGGGTCCTACAGCTTTTAAATGTGCCACATAGTTTAAAGCCATGTAGGGCAATCTTAGGTCTCTGTTTTGTTACATGGCAGCATGAGATTGTGATTTATCTTATGCACCAGTACCTTTTTAAGGCAGGTGGTTGATCTTGTAAATTGTATGTATAGTATTGTAAGATAATTTTGACTGTCAGTCTGGAAAAACATGCTATCTGCAATCTGTTGTAAAGTCTTTGACAGTTCTGTGACTAACTGGGTCTTCACTGCCAGCCCACTTTTTTGTCACACAGAATTAATAGCTTGTACAATAACATTATTTGTGACAAGTAGCTTAACATCAGTGTTATTAAATTAACTACAGTGAAGGCAGCATCTCTAATATTTTTTGACGTATTGCTTGTAAGCTGCACTAGATCGTGTCTGTACTAAATGTATCATTCTCTTTCATCCTGCAGTCGGCCATTTTCAACTTCCAGTCACTGCTAACAGTGATCCTCCTCCTGATCTGTACCTGTGCCTACATCAGAGCACTGGCTCCCAGCCTGCTAGACAAGAACAAGACCGGGTATGATCAGATACTATTACAATGAAGCTGCCAGTGGGGTCTTCCGAGTGATTAATTGACGCCTCAAATACCTTCCATTGTCTCTTTGAATGGGACACGATGTTATATCAGACTGCGTTAACAAATCATTGGAGTGTTAATACACTCACCATCAAAGACAAAGCCTCAGGGTGGGACATTGGGTGGGAAAGGACATTGGAAAAGACCACATCCCAATCTCATGGTCCCTATAATTTCAGTCAGAGCTTGCTACTGTGTAGTGGCACCTCAATTACTGACAATGCTAAGGCAGTTCTAAGACACACAAATGATTTGTGTTTCCTGTTAGCGCTGTACATTGTGCTCCTTTGCTGTCACCATCAACTTTTCCACTTTCACCAGTTGATTCCAGGCAGTTTACTTCTGTATTGCAACTTTTATTGGAGCTGTTTGCTTAGTTTCTGTGGTAGAAAACCTACTTTTTACCAACAAAAAATGTCTGTGATGTAGCTGATTCTGCTGGAGTGTAGAATCAGAATGGAGTGTGTGTATATAAGGGTAAGGGGTCTCTGTAACTCTCTGTAGCCACGAGGGACTCTTGCTTATTTTTTCAGCAAATGAAAGGCTCCTTATTGAGGCAAGCAAAGTAGCAGAATGCCTAAATGTTCATCATCACTGGATCATTATTATTCTTGGATGTAGAAACTCCATGATTCACTTCTAATAAGTCTGGCACAGCCCATGAACAGCCAGACACACTCTCACACACTTACACTCCTCTCTCTCTCACACACACACACACACACACACACACACACACACACACCATTAGAGCAGGGAGGGACATCCTCTTCAGACAAACACATGAGAGTGAGTGTGGCAGATGGGATGATTTAATAGTTTTCCCTCTTGATTGATTTGTTGACTGAGACATGAGCTGTTATTTGTGTTGATTTGGTGCCACATATTATGCAAATGCTTCTTGTGTGGTAGGGATAGGCCTCAAATCTGAGGGGAAGAATTTGTGTTTTGTACAGAAAAAACATCTGTATGTTGTTTGAAAATAATATTTTGTTGGAAAAAAATAGTCTGCTCTAACTGTAGAAAATGCAACTTTAAAACCTATCATAAGTCAATCAAAGATGATTTCACAATGGGATGCTGACACCATCTGGTCAGTTTGAAACTTGAAGAAAGTTGGCTCTTACACATGTACACTTGCAGACACACATATACACACACCCTCACACAGGCCGACAAACACATCAGAAAAGTGAAGGCCTGGAATGCCACATTCGCCTCAGCTGTCATTAGATAATAAGACGTGCCTGCTGTCCCCCTCTCTTCCAATGTGTGCACCCCCTTGCATGGAAATGGACATCTGATGGCTGCCTAAGTTTTGCAGGAGAGCAATTACAGTACTCTTGTAAAATTATAAGAGGTCAGACTAACAGTTACTATAGCTACGACCTTGACTTATCAACACAGCCCTTATTTTAGCTTTTAATATCACCACAAGAGTAATTTCTGTCTTTGTATTTTATTGCAGTTAAAGGACAATTAACTTTTACAAAGCACTAAAAAATGGAGGCAACTGTTCAAGCGTGTAATTTTTTGTTTTATTTTATCTTTTAGGCTTCTAGGAATTTTCTGGAAGTGTGCCAGAATAGGTAAGCTTATGAATGCCCCATTTTCTTTTCTTTGACATTAGGTCATATTTTTTCTTATAATATGATCAATATGCTGCTTCACGATGTAGCCTTGAGCTTAACATATTTTCTTTTCTCCAGGTGAGCGGAAGAGTCCCTGGGTGGCTTGCTGCTGTGTCATCATGGCTTTTAGTATACTGTTTCTACAGTAACAGTCCAAAGAGAACGACGAAAGGAAATACCGGGGAAATGGACAGACAACAAGGCATGGACAGTACGATCCTAGAAGCACAACAGGACTTCTGGTGGTTGTCACTTAGATAATGTAAAAACGGAGACCCGTCGCCACTCATTGAGCCACGGAGAGAGAGAGAATGTGTCTTGTGTAGTGAGAGGGATGAGCTGATAGCCCCAGAGTGTGTCTAGATCCCTCCACGGACTTCCCAGGTCTGTCCTTCTGTTTGCTAATGTGGAATGTTTACTCCGGATGTATGCAAGTGTGTGTGTTGGGGGGGCAATGCTTTCTGTTATCTGCCATTTAGTTTAAAGGAAAGAAGTCACATTCTGGCATCATTGGTGGGATCAAAATAATACATTGTTTGTCCAGGCATTTCAAACTGATATGTTTTCCCCTCGAGTTTGTCACAATTGCATGGAACACTTTGAAATGCTCTCCAAAAAAGGACCTTCATAAATGCTCATGACTGTTTTGCGCTCACATGGAGGCTGTTTGTAAACTGAGGTATAATGAGGTGTGACTTCAGATCATCTCAGCGCCCTCTTTGTAACCTGTTCACTTTGTTGTATCTAGAAATGGTGATCAAATTCCACAGCAAAAAAAGTGACAGTGTAGCTCTTCAGGTGGATATTTGTCCTGCATAATTGCCTCAGAGAGCTACTGATGTTTTTTAAAGTCAGTCAGTTTGCCACTATTTATTAAAGAACCTTTTTGGAAATCTGGTTTGAGAAGGCTGATTTTTGTCATTTTTTGCTGTCGACACCTGTTTATGTCTGTTGTCATAATGCTACACTGTAAGATGAAGTGTCATTGATAATGACTTTGAACATGCAAAATACATGATGATAACCTGTCAAACTTTTGTCAATCTTCTCTCTCTAAGGGTTTGATTACACATACCGTACTTATGTGACTGCTACTGCAGAGTTAGACAAAGTATTTCTTGATTATTTTTAGGTTAAGAGGAAACTACCTTAAAGGAACAGTGTGTAGGATTTAGTGACATCTAGTGGTGAGGATTGCAGATTGCAGCCAGCCTAAACTCCCATGTGCCAAGCATGAACTCACAGTTAGGATCCCTTCAGT